CCAAGAAATAATGCAAGTTAATTGGCACAGTCATTTGTGTATCAAAGGTGTACTGTCAACTTCTTGTCCAATGTAAAGCGATCCTTGTCCCTCTCTTTTCAGTGTCCTCCCAGTCCCCTCCTTTCCTCCAGTGTCCCCTCAGCTCCCACTTCTCTTGTCCCAAGATCCCCCCACTGTCCTTCCAGACCCCTCTGCTCTCCCACCAATGTCCCACCAGCCTCCATCCTTATCACCCTAATGTCCCCTCAGCTCCTGCCTATCTTTCTCCCTTTAGCTGATTTGGGCCCCTCACCTGGGAATTAAATCGGATCTGACAGACGTTACAGGAAATGATTGGCCGCTTGGTCTTGAGTAGAGGTCCCCCAAAGGTGTGGGACAGCACAGCCTTCTGCACGGGATCCATCTGAGGACAGAGTCAGGGGATGAGTCACGGACCCTAGCAAACTGCGCCAGTCTCCAAAGGCCAAAAAGGGATCTCTTCTTTCAGTATCTCCATACTACAATTTCCAGCCCCCCCAACTAGGTTTGACCTCAGGACTCCCAATTTCAGTGCCCTCTCCTACTTTTAGCCCTATTATTCCCAACCCCAACATCCCCAACCTTGTCATTCCCAGCCCCTCATCTCATCCTTTCTGCCATCAGCCATGGCTAGTGAACTTGCAGACCAGTTCCCACTGAACCTAAGTGAACCCAGTAAGATCCTTCTCCCCAGTCTCATCTCACTCTGGACCCTGCTCTAGACAGGGAATGCCTTGGGGGCCTTGGATACATGGTAATAGAATGGCAAAATAAATTACCAATGACCCCATCTGAGGCTTTCTAGTTTCAAGGATACACTTGGTAACCAGAGAAACTTCTAAAATGTAGCTGTGGCTGGAATTCAGCAAAGGGACTGGGTTGGGTGGGAAAAGCCAGGAGCCCCAGCTCCTCCTCAGAGTTCCCTCTGGCTAAAGGAAGAAAGTTAGGGATCTTGGGAGCCATCTCTCTCCCTGAGCAGCAGGGCCCCCAGGGCCTGGGCTGTTGAGCTGGTCAGGATTTGAAAAGCATCTCTCCCTACCCTGGGAGAGATGGGCCAGCAGATGTCTCTTCAGCTGCCTGCCAAGAGCCCACATGGGAAGGGGAGGAGATGGGAGTTCCTATGAAGACTTCTTTTGCCACAGGGGGCCAGGAGAGGCCAAAGGATGGAGTCAGGGGACCCCCAGCACTGGACAATAGTTTCTCCTCACTGCCCCCATTTCTAGCCCCTCTCTTCTATAGGGGGCCTGGGAGTGGCAGGCCTGGAATGCAGCTGGGGATGGGGAGGAATGGGTGGTGACAGGGACCACCCATAGGAATGGGGCCAAGCTGGGGTTGAAGCATAATCATCCAGATGGAAGGGTCAAGTGAGGGCGGGTAGCTCAGGGTTCCAAGATCCTCAGCTCCACAGCTGAACTCCCCTTTCCCTGATTTCACTCTCTCCAGAAAGACTCTGGGTTTGAAAAATCAGGGAGATGATCTGAGAGAACCCAGGCAGCTTGGCTCCCACCTACCCATCTCCAGTAACTGTGCCAGAAGAGGAGGGAAGAAATTTAATGCTGGAATAGGGGCTTTGGGAGCACTGGAGAGAAAGGTCACTGATGGTGACCACCACTCAATGCCTTCCCCTCAAGTTTTGGTAATGGTAGTGCTAATAGCCTCAGCTTCACCCAGGAAAATAAATGTCTGATTGACAGGTGTCAATATCTACCTTCCCTACCCCCCTGAAAGACCAAGCCCACATTGATAGAAAAGCCAACCAGTGGAAGGGGGTGTGTGTGAGTATGTATTAAGCATGCCGTGGTGAGTCTTTGTGTATGGGTGGGACGTGAATGGGTATCATGTGCTCTTTATACGTCAGCTGCTTATCTGCATCTATCTCTGTGTGTATAGGGCTTCATGGTTGATCGGCTGTGTTGTATAATCTACATATGTGTTTATCTGCGTATATGTATAATGTGTATTTGGCATTCATGTAAGTGTATGCATTTACGTATATGTGTGAGTGTGTGTGTGTGTGTGTGTGTATGTGAGAGAGAGAGAGAGAGAAAGAGAGAGAGAGAGAGAGAGAATATAGAAGTGACACAGACTCTCTTGCTAGACTTAGGCCTTCAGAACTGAAACCATATTACCCTGAGACCCTAAACCCTTCCCTTCCCCTGTCAGGTGTGACCCAGCCCCTTGGCCCCCTGAGTCCTCTGCTTCTTTACATTCTGGGTGGGGGATGGAGATTCAGCCCAACCTGAAACTCAATATGGGCCAAGAAACCCAAGTAGGATGAGCTGGGGCAGAGAGAATGGTGTGTGTGTGTGTATGTGTGTGTGTGTGTGTGTGTGTGTGTGTGTGTGTGTTGGGGGGGAGAGGGGATGGAGAGGGAGAGAAGGAAACAGGATGATCCCACTGGTTCCTGCCTTCTACCCTAGATGCTAAAACCCCACCGTACTGACAATGATTTCAACACTGTCCTTTCTTCGTCTCTTCCCAGCTACCCTCCCTTGACCTTTCTTGACCCACAGCTGGTCCTGTCTAATTCTCTTTCTCCCCTCCAGGGTGACAGAACCTTCTTTCCAGAAGCTCCCCCATCTTAATCTCAGGTTCTGGGAAAGGTCTAGCTTAACTCTGTAAATGCCAGATTGGGGCAGGGGGTCAGGGGGAGGTGGAGAGGGAAGGTTGAGTGATACACAAGTCATACAATTCCCTTCTGGGTATCTTCCTTCCTAGGAAACTGGAATAAATGTTAGCCTTGGTGTTAAGAATGCCTGGGCCCAATTCTATCCACAGAGAAGGAATGGTTCAGGCCAAGGTCAGGGGGACTTCAGTGCCCTAGCTCCCAGTTCTAAATATTTCAAAGCCCAATCCCACCCCGGGTGTCTTTGTGAGATACAGGGTCCTTCTCCATGGGGGCTCCCAAAATATATTCCCCTAGATCCTCTCAAAGATTAAAAATCAAAGTGGATTGTCTTCTTGAGAAGCTAGGGAGGAATAAATCAGGAAAGGTGCTATGTGTGTAGGGGGGGGGAAGGGAAGAAAACAGGGAGAAACCAGAAAGAGAAATTGAGGAGAGGGGCTTTGATTACATTCCCTTCTATTGCCTTTTATCTGATAAAGCCAGGTGCTCCTCTAAGGATTTCTTCACCCTTTTCCCAGACCAAAACCCCCACAGAATTAAAAACAAACAAACAGACCAGAAAAGAGGTTAGACAGGAAGGGAAGAGAGAAGGCCAGAGATCGGGGGCCTGGAGGAGAAGGACATCCAGATTTGAGATAAGGGAGGATGGGTGAGGGGCTTGTCTGAGAGAAGCAGGTGGGAGACTTGGAGGGGTAGGAAGGAATCCTGGGAGATGCAGAGGGCACAAAGAGGGCAGGTTTGGGATGAGAATCTGGGATGTGAGAAAAGGAAGATGCAGTGGGCTCTGAAAGGCATGGGAATCTGCAGAAGGGTAGAGAAACTGGTGATGTGGTGGGAGCAGCCTGAAGATCTGGAGTGCTCCAAAAGAGATCTTGGGAGGACTGATAGGGAATTCAGTGTGGAGGGGGCAGTTTGAGCGGGCTTCTTTGGGATCAGGGGATCTGATGTGGGGGTGGGGAGCGATTCAAGGCTGTGGGGGCCTGTGGGGGAACCAAGGGTTCAATGGATGGGAGAGGCAGCTTGCAGGGGAGGGGCAGGCGGGGGCTGCGGCAGCCGAGGGGAGCGGAGGGGGGCGGGGGGTCCGGGGTCGCTTACCCTGCGGGACCCCGGGGGCCGCGACTCCATGGCCCGGGGTGGGAGGACCCGGGCGGAGGGGGGCCGGGCCGGGCCAGGGACGCGGCGCTCGCTGCCCGTGCGGCTTGGGGCTGTGCGGCCGGGCCGGCCGGGGTAGAGGGAGGCGGTACCGGCCGGGGACTGAGCCCCGCCTCGGAGGAGGGACTGAAGGCGGGCCCGGGCCGGGGGCGGGAACTGGGACCGCAGAAGCCCCGAACAAGGGGATGGGGATGCAGGGTCTCATTCTCCTCCCAGATCTCAGCCAAAGAGGGGTCCACTGCAGGCGGACGGATCCAGGCACCTCCGCGCCCTGCGACAGTGACCCTTCTCCGTCTGATCTCTGGCGTCCATCCTCCTTGCACTGCACTCCCCTCTGACGTCCCTGTTTCTCATGCTCGAACCTTGCCCTTCATTCCTCACCATGATCATCCTCCCCATCCATTGTCCTGCCCTGACTCTCTTTTGGGGCGGGGACGTAAGTCGCGGCTTCCCTTTGGGGGTCCCTTTGCTCTCCCCGGTTAAACTGGAGGAAACTGAGGCACAAAAGAGGAGCGCACCATCCTTCACCTGTAGGCGAGGAAGATGGAAACGGAACTCAGGTATCCAGGTCCCCTGCCCCTCCCCGAGCCACCCCATGTCGGGTAGAACTGGGGGAGCCACGCCGCAGAAGACACAGAACAGGCTAGGGCTCCCCTCTCCTGGCTGGGTCAGCAGCCAGGCTGAAGACCCAACCAAGCTTCTGGATCTGTGCAGGCGCTGCCCTCTGGCGGCCACTTGTGGCAGGGGACAGGAGGGGAGTGGGGTGTTGGAGGGAGACAGAACCAACAGAGGGTAACCTCAGATCACCTAAGACCTCTTTCCCTCCCCCAACGCACATCTCCAGACCTGCACCCCGCCCATCCCACCCCTCCCCCCTCCCCCCTAACTCTATCATAGAGTCTCTCTAACCTGTATTTTTGGATCTCATTTCATCACCTCTTAAAGCTGGGACAGAGGAAAAGCAAGGTTAGGAGTTGGAAGATAGCTAGTCTTTGGGAAGGGCATGGAGTTAGGCAAGGGGTGTCAGCACAAGGTTCTCCGTCAGGTGTACAGGGAAAACTGCGGTGAGTCGGTCAGGGAAAATGAGCAGACAGTGCGGTGCGGCACTTCACAAACTCTTTGGTCTTACAATTATTTAAAAACTGTTGAGTATCCTTCAAAGAGGTTTTGTTTATGTGGGTTCTATCTACTGATTATATTAGAAATTAAGATGTCTTAGCATTGTCATGAAAATGGCTGTGACCTCATCACATGGACCCCCTGAAAGGGTCTCCAGACTGCTGTTGTAGCGGAAAGTTAATTGGATTTGGGGGTCAGAAGAACCGGAAGCAGACTCCAGCTGTGCAACTTATTTACCTGTGAAGGTAAGCTCCTTGAGGGCAAGGACTGTTACATTTTTATCTTTGGATCCTCAACACCAAGCACATAGGATAGATAAGCATAGGGACTGAACCTGGTTTAGAGATCTCCCAGGTGAAGAAACTCCTTTTATCAATGCAGGTCAACCCCTTCTCTGCAGAAGTTAGTCTTAGAGCTGTCCAGAGAACTAGGAGGTTAAGTGCTCTTGCCCAGGGTCATACGGACGAGTAAGCCTCCGAGGAAGGATTTGAACCCGGGTCTTCCTGGTTTCAAAGTCTGTTCTGTATTTACTACACCAAGGTACGTCTGGCACATAGTAGGTGTTTAATAAATAATAAATTGTGTGACCTCCTTATGTGTCAGTGACCTGGCAAGTCACTTCCTCTCTGTAAGTCTCTGTTTCCTGATCTGTAAAATGATCTTTCCTGATCCCTTTCATCAATGGAAATTTATAGCACATTCACAAGGTACAAGGGATTCTCCAAAAAGCTTTGCCTCTCAAATTATGACTTCTTTTCTGCCTCAAATTTTTCATGAACAGCAAATTTATGGTAGGTTAACATAACTGACCATCCTGGGTCCCCCTGCAGTAGCCACTGTGTTTTGTGAAAGGCCTAAGGTGCCTTTCATCTCTAACCCAACACTGGTGTATTCTACTCAAGAGCTGACTACTACTGAGGAGGAGCTGAGAGAAAAGAGTAGGAAAATCCCTACTGTTAAAGCCACTGATCTTTCATCTCCGTGCAGCGACACCCCCTCCCACTCCTCCCCCCCTCCTGCAATCATCCCTGACTTCTCTGGGGCATCTGATACTGCTGACAATACCCTCCTTCCTGAAACCCTCTCCTCCTTGTCTTCTTTGACCCTCCTCTCTTCTGGTGTTGCCTCCACCACCCATCCACCCCCACCCCTCAGCTTCTCCTCTGTTTCCTCTCAGCTGGCTCTTTTTTCCTATTTCCATCTCCTGTTAAGTGACCTGCTCTGGAAGGCTCCCACTCTATGTTCCAGGCATTAACTATGCAGTTTAAATCAATAATAATTCATATGTCCATAAGTTTAAAAGTTTACACCAATGGTGTCAAACTCAAATAGAATTGGGGGACACTAATGCCCCTATTGACTTGGTTTTAAAATATATTATCTATATTTTATTGTATTTTTATTTATATTTTCCAATTACATTTTAATCTGGTTCAGGCCACTCAGCAGTGTCATGACAGGCTACATGCTTGATGCCTCTGGTTTATATAACTTTTTTTTTTACAATATTTCTACAGAGTAGATAGTGCTTGTATCCTTTTTCCCATTTTACAGATGCAAAACTGAGGCTCAGAAATGTTAAATGATTTGCCCAGAGTCACAGAACTATGGAGCTTTAGAGCACAGATTTGTACTTAGGTCTTTCCTGGCTCCAGATCTCTTGTTTATTCCATTAGACATTTGTGACTGGTTCTAGGATAATAGCTAGCTCTTCTGACTTATGAAATAGTGAGAAAAGCAGAGGATCTGCTGTCTGAGGACCTGGGTTTGAATCCTGGCTCCCTTCTTTGCACAGGTGGGGACTATGGGTACCGAATATTGTATACACAGTACTGTCTAACTTAATTAATACATTGGTCAGTTCTGCTGAGATGCTTTTCTTTTTTTTTTCTTTTTTTTTTTTAAGGCAGTTGGGGCTAAGTGACTTGCCCAGGGTCACACAGCTAGTAAGTGTCAAGTGTTTGGTCTAAGGCTGGATTTGAACTCAAGCCCTCCTGACTTCAGGGCTGGTGGTCTATCCACGTGCCACCTAGCTTCTCTGAGATGCTTTTCTTTCTTTTTTATTTCATTTTTATTCCTTGTGATAAGAAAGAGGTAGCTCTCTAAGGATGGGAGGAGAAAGAGAAAGATTTGGAAATGGAGAGGAGTTAAAAACAAAATACATGAATGATAATTGTGTGGTAATTTTTTAAAAAAGAAATCTTGGCTCTGTTGGACCTAGTATCTTAATCTGTAAAATGAATGGTTTGGTCTGCATGATCTCCTAGCTAAAGGACTCGTGGTCTTTTGACTTCAGAGTGAAGACATCACACAGCCTCTGTAGTACTGTCCTCAGTCCTGAACCTCGAATGGTCTTCTGGGTCCTTTTAATTTCCATGTCTTTCCAATGCCCCAAACTCGGTGTGCCTGAAACTAAGCACATCATCTCTCCCCTCACCCCACCCCCCACCCCGTACCTACTTCCCAATTCCCTTATTTCTATTATTGCCACCTCCATTGTTTAATTCAAGATGGAGACCAGTAATCAGTCATCTTGGACACTTCCCTCCCTATCACTTGAACAATTTAACTCTTATGAAGTATGAACTCTGTCTGTGCAATGCAGCATTCTAGGGGATGATGATACAAAGATAAAATAAAACATAGCACTACCCTCAAGGGGTTGAGGAGTATTTATTAAGCGCCTAAGCACTTTACCAATGGTCTTCACAGCAACAACACTGGGAGGTAGGTGCTATTATTTATCCCCATTTTACAGCTGAGAAAACTGAGGCAGACAGATTAAATGACTTGCTTAGGACCCCACAACTAGTAAATTGAGTCAGGGTTTGAACTCAGATGTTCCTGACTCCAGGCCCATTAATTTAAGTGGCCTCTAGCTGACACGTACAAAGATAAATATATAAGTAAACTCCTTCTACAGTAGCCTTCACCAGCTTTAATACACAAATACACAGTCTGTGGTTTCATCCAGATAGAGAACTTGAGATATAGGAACTCCTTCAGGAATACACAAATGTAGATCTTAATAATAAAGCTGGGAGAATTGCCTGAGGCATACAAAGGTTAAGTGACTTGGCTAGGGTCATACAGGGTCAGCAGTCAGGGAATTTGAACCCGTTTCCATGATGTAAATATCATACATATACATATATGTGTGTGTGTGTGTATGTGTGTGTGTGTGTGTGTGTGTGTGTATACTTATAGTCTTAGAGTTTTCTGAGGCTTTGTGGTTAATTAAGTGACTTGCCCCTGGTCACCCAGCTAATTATAATTCAGTCCTGAACTCTAGCCAAGCTACCTAGACATCATGCAACTCACATTTCTAACCCATTAAGGGTTACAAAGTGCACAACAAACAGTTTCACCCTCATTTTGCAGATTAGAAAAAGAGCTCAGAGATAGAGGTTAAGTAATTTCTCATTGGTAACACAGCTGGTAAGTGCTAGGGTTTTGAACCCAGATCTCTTTGTCCACTTATAGGATTAGTAAAGTAACAAAGAGAATTCTGTAACATGTGGGTCTTTACTTTCAAGTGTCACAAGGTATTGGGGTTGAGTATCACTGGTTTAACACACTGGCCACTCTGTGGGTGGGAATTTCAGGCCACAGCAGCCATGCTGGACATTTCAACCCTTACAGCATCTTGGAGTTTAGAACCAGAAGGGCCCTTGAACATCGTCTAATTCAACTCTTTCATTTTACAGAGCAGGAAGTGAAGATCCAGAGAAACATATGAACTGGGATTGTACAGAGGGTCACAAAAGTCTTAGGGTGGTTTCAAGCTAATTAAAGTTCTCCCTGGGCATTACATAACCAGACACCAATGTAAAAAATGTAAAAATGCAAAACCTCCCCTTGTAGTCTGGTCACCCATTTAAATTATAGTTTCTATGTAACTGTTTCCTGTAATATGGTTGGTACCAGCATTAAGCTTTTTAAGAATCTCAGTGTTGGGAGGGCTCGCAGAGGCTGTCCAATCCTAGTGGTATCCAACCAAGAATCTCATCTCCCACCTCCTGAACCAATAGTAACCCAGCCATTCTTTGAAAGCCTTCCTCCTCTAGGAAGTCTTCTCTGCCTGCTCATGATTTCCTCTTTCCTTTGAACTTTTTCAGGATTTATACTCTGTATCACAAAATTTGGCAGGCAATTGAATACTGTTTGCTCTTAATTACATGCTGGTGTTTCATTTAAATTAACTATATCTCTTTTACTAGATTATAAACTTTTGAGGGCAAGACCTATTATATCTCAAATCAAAAGGGTCAAATGAGATATTTGTTTAAAAAAAAAAGTAGTTAGCACAGAGCCTGGCACATAGTAAGCTTTACATAAATGCTTCTTCCCTTCCCTTCTCTTATAATTCTTTATATCCTTCCCAGTGCCCAGCACTGGGCTGGGTACAATTGGAAGCTTCTTTTTTTTTCTTTTTCTTTTTTTAGGCTATTGGGGTTAAGTGACTTGGCTAGGGTCACACAGCTAGTATGTGTCAAATGTTTGGTCTGAGGCTGGATTTGAACTCAGGTACTCCTGACTTCAGGGCGGTGCTCTATCCACTTCGCCACCTAGCTGCCCCTGGAAGCTTCAAATGGTAGTAATAGTACTGGATTTTAAATCTAGAGAACTGAATTCAAACCCTAAGTCCTACATGTATACTAGCTCTGTGCTTATGGGCAAATTACTTAACCTTCTTAAATCTGTTTTCCCATCTGTTAAATGGTGACAGTGATACCTTCCTCTCAGAGTTGTGAGGAAAGCATTCCGTAGACCTTACAGTGGTAGAGAAATGGGAATGACTATTTTTAATACAGAAAGGAGACCTGAGGAGAGATGGGCAGTGAAGGAAGAAAATATGGTGGACTCTGAAGGAGAGAGTGGGGAATGAGGTCTGGGGAATTAAGTGGGGGTGTCACATTTCAGCACTAAGTTTTAAACTGCTTTAGGCTAGAGATACTATCATTTATTTTTTGTAACTTTATTAAGTAGGTCTTTAATGAAAGTAACACTGAATTGAAATTGAGGGGAAAGTATGCCTTGGTCTAAGGAGAGAGTGTGAATGAAGCTTGAGGGGGAGACGTGGGGATTAGAATCTAAGGAGAAGGGGTGGGGTCTGAGGGCTGGCAAGAGTGGGAGGTGGGAGGTAAGGGGAGAGGAAGAGGTGGAGTTTGAAGAAAGAGAAGGGGGTTAGAGGTGGGGACTAAGGGGTGAGTGGGGTGGGGTGAGGGTTTGAGAGAGGGCGCAG